CTTCTTTTCCCCTACTATTTACCTAATGTATATTTATTTTTCTAGCAAAGAAGCAATTTCAAATTCAACCACCTAAATTTTATTGTAAAATATTTAGGCAAAAAGTTAGACTAGTCCAGCAGCAGCCACTGTGGTTGTGCTAATAAAATTGTAAAGGATTTTTTTACTTGCAATTGGTGGGCCAGTCAACCCATAACGTTTCTGCAGTTCTGTTTTGTGCTGCATAATTGAGCCAAAATGCAAACAGTTTAAGAAGCCAGGCTTGAGTTACTATTCTGAAATTTTGCTTGGAGTTCAGTTTGCTTGCCTGGGGAGGAAGGGATGAGAAAGGGAAACAGCAGTGATGGTTGAGTATTAATACTGCAAGGTTAACACTGAAGCTAAGTGTGTAATCTTACAACTGGAGACCAAACTTAGAGCTCAATTCCCATTAGTGCTAAGAGGAATAAATTACTCCTCCACATAAAAACAATAGCCAGAAAAACATAACTACAAGTTAATACACATAATTTTCGTTTGCTGAAAAGAATTAACTTGCTTTATGCTATGGGAAATGAACTTATACAGGCTATTTAAACACAGCTGCTGCAGATTCCCCCTTTGTGAATAGGAGTTCCCTCAGTCCAGAGACAGTGTGCTTGCAAGCATCTCCATAAATGTCTGCAGCTACCACTGCAGAAATTCAGTAGACATCTGCAATTAATACTGCTGAGATTACATTTAGCAACCAGATGATACCATTATGGATGCTTCAGAAGGAAGCTTTTTTTTTTTTTTTTTTACTTTTAAAAGGATTAAAAATACATAAGAAACTACAAAACTCTTTTTCTCTCCTGTAATTTTAAACTGAGCAAACTACCAGTCCGGTGCTCTGCCAGTTTAACTCATGCCAGAAACTTTGTCTGATGTCCTGCCAGCATGCTGCTGCCTAGATTTTCAGTTTCCCCAAAGATTACATATATTCCCCATACATGACCCGAGGTTAACCGCTTCAATGTGGAGCATATGTGGTGCCCAGCAGGCCTGTGTACGCAGATGGATTTCACCCTAGATACTCTCTAAGTCATATTAACACCTTTTTATGGTAGGTTCACAACAAGGATAACGAAAATTATGTTTAAAAGCAAAAAAGGCAATTATTTGATGAATACTACTAAGGAAAAACAGCAGGCAGGGAATGGGGGAAGAGGTTTGCTTCTGGTCAGCAGAATTGTCTGTTAAATGGGGTTTTTTATTTCGGGTTGAAAGAAGGCTCTCCCGTGTTACCCTGCAAGGCGCTGCTGATGGTGTGACAGATGCCCGTCTCCTGCCTGCTATGGGCGAAAACATGGCTACCCTCACTGCTGCTGGCTTGCAGATGTTGAACTGGTAACCGCTTGCTACAGTAGGTGCCGCACTGCATAATTTCATTGATGACAAGCTTTTCTGGTGTATTTAGGAGTGTTAGGATTAAATTGGCAGCCAGCAGCACCAGGTGAGCAAAGCGCAGCTCTGTGGGGCCAGGATGCTGGGACCTGGGAAGAGGTGGGCCTGGCCCTGGGGCGCTGGGGACAGAGGCCACTCGCAGGCACGGTGCTGCCAGCCTGGCAAGGTGGACTGCAAGGACCTGCTAGCTGCTTCTTGGCTAGCCATGTGTGGCTTCCCAGCAGAGCAGGAAACATGGGCGTCCTCACTTTAACTCTTGCAGGCACCTCCCCAGCCAGACTCTGTCTGATGGAGATGCTGCAGATTAAGTTAGTACAAGCTGTCATCACACTGTAGCTGAAGAGAATCTTTTGTCTACTTCAGGCTGACTGGCTTTTTTTCCCCCTCCCTAAATGCAAAGCTCCTTAGCACCATCTGGAAGAGCTCTGAGGAGATACAGAGCTTTCAGAAAGGCTGCTCGGTCTTTCTCTATCTGGACCCTCTCACATCATAAGCAAAAGCACCGTGGTCACCTGTTGCAGTCATTTGCAGGGCATGAAAGTTGGCTTTCACTTGGGACATGCATAATGGGAATGGCTTCCCACACTGAAGGGACAATACTCCACACAGTAGCCAGGAGATGTGGGCATTTGAGAAAGCTCAGGCTTCCTTTGCTATACTCCCTCCCTGCTAATCTCTTCAGAGCAGCAGCATCACTTACAGCAACTCAAAGAGCCGGCCAAGTGCTCAAGGCACTGTAGGGAGCCGTATCTGGGCGGCTAACTCCTCATCAGTTTCAAACAGCATTTTTCCAGAGTCCCCCAGGTGATGTTGGCAGCAAAGGAGGAAGCAGCAGCTTCTTCTCAGTCTCCATGCTACAGGGATTCTAGATTTCTTTTTTAACTGACAGCTGCCCCACTGGTGACCTTGTCACGTCTTTACAGAATACCAGATCATCATGACTGATTTCACTTATTTATAAATGCATAAATACAGAACAAATGTGTGCAGTAAATATATTTAAATAAAAATTGACAAGATGCATTTATTGGTTTTGATTTGTACAAAAGCATAACTTAACAGGCAGACTAGTATAAACTTACTTTGTGCCAAATATTTAAACTTTTCATTCCAAAGAGTTTCTGGTTCAAAACTTGTAGATACAGTTTCCACCTGGGAAATCTCCTTTTTAGACCACAGATAACACAGTATTGTAAAATCAAAATTCTGCAGTCCTTCAACCAAGCGAAAGTTGCGTTCTGCTTCGAGTGCCAGAGTTTTAGCTACTCAGTGAATGGATCATATGAAACATGAGCCATGCTGGAGTGACCTGATGAAAAGTCAGTTTGCCTACTGCTCATTCGTGTTCTGAAAAAAGATGTGCATTAGGATCTGTGACATGCAATCTTAGCAAAGACTGATAAATATGTGTAAAAATAGGGCGACACGTTTGGATTTTTCTTTGCTACTTCATACCAGCCAGAAGTAGCGTAAGAAAACCTGCGTTACTTAAGCGAGTCCCAGATGTCATGCAGAAGCTCAATTACTCCTGAAATAAAAGAATACTTTCACTCTGATTTTGCAAGTGGGTTTTCCTTCACACAAGTAACATTTTTTCAGTAAGCCTGAAGGGTTTTCTCAGTCTTTGCTGCCACCACCACCACTGCTGCACCTGCCTTCCGACTTGGAGGGTGGAGTGGCAGTCTTTGCTGACAACATCTCCATAGACGTTCACCTCCACTGGAAAAAAACTCCCACAAGAACAAGCAGGATACATCCCTGAGATGCCCTTTCAAGAGTCTCCAAAGTGAGAACGTTTTTTCAAAAGCTACCTTTCCCACAGAACAGGGCTTGCTGTGCTTCAGCGCTATCAAGAGGGCTAGCGCAAAGCTAGATTCATGTTCTTGTCATCCAGTATCCAAGTGCAACTTCCTGGCATTTTAAAATGTGGTGGACGCACTGTGTGACAGCAGCTGTACAAGAAACAGTGCGCAGCTGCACAAGTGTTCCACAAGACCATCTGGAGGAAAGTACCAAAAATAGATGCGAGCAAGCCTCATGTGTTTCAGCAAAATTAAGCATAAAGAAACTGGTGTCCATGCAGCAGTGTTTGATATGCCATAAAAACTTTCAAATAACGTTTGATAAGAAAACTATTTATCAGTGAAAATGCAAGCTTAGACACTATGAACAGTTTACATCTTGTAGGTGTTCACTGATATGGGACAGTGGCATTATGACCAGTGGCTCACCTTAAAGTAGGTTACTCATGGGTTTCCAAATGAGCTAGTGTTTTATGGTACTGTACAAATAAAAAGTTGTGGGGAGCATATGAAATATCTGTATTAAACTCCACTGCATTAAGTTATCCAATGCATGAAAAATGACCCAGATGCATTTAAAATAAATGCATATTACAATTATCACATATAGTATTATAAAATTATTACTTATGTGCACAGTCCTGGTATCTATAGACATGGCACTGTGAAGAAAGCCTGGTTCCTAAGTGTTTTTACAGATACTTGATAGTGATGCAGTTTGCTATCAGTCAGATCATAATGTCCCTTCAACTTTGGTACATTCAGTGCAAAATATTTTTGGGAGTTTTTTACTCTTATAAAAATAAAAGGCATTTTTTTCCCTTGAGAGTGCTTAAAGAATAAACACTAGCAGAATGTCTGTTCAAGCATGGAAAGTGACAAAAACAGAAATAGTGTTTTAGTTTTCTTGTTTCCTGTTTACACTCTAAGAAACATAATATAATGAACCTATAAAAATAAACAGAAGTCACTGTGTTAGGGTTTTTTTCCTGATATGCTGTGATAAATTGCTAGTTTTTTCTTAAAATAGTTTCCATGCAGTATAAAGCATAAAATCAGTCTTATTAAGTTATTAAGTTCATTATTACAGCTCATCTTTTGTCATACACACCACTGGCAAACACATTTCCACAAACCTCCTTAATGCAAGCAGTTGTTGTTACATCCTTTGTTGCTGACTTTCCTTCTGATTCACTTCTGCCCCGGGAACTTGAGCTCTATGGTGCACACCATGCAGCCACTCGTAGTCTTAGGTCACGCAAGTACTGGATATGCTATTGTAACATATGGTGTAATGTACCTTCATGAATTAAAAAAAAACAAAACAAAACAAAACGAAAAAACCCTATGATTTTTTGATAATTTACTGGGTAGGTAAGGGGCTGAATGATTTCACATTTTGACTTGAATTTTCCATTCAACAACTTGGATGACCTGGGTACATGTCACTTTTGCAGTAGCCAGGTTGATCACAACATGGGATCACGTTTCTTGTTTGCTCAGAACATAAACCTAAGAAGTTTGGCCGTCCTGAAAAAACATGGATTGCAAGACTTGGTTTTCCTTGCACGTCAGGCACACTCTAGTATTGTAGAGAATTCTGCCACTACCACAATGCTTTTTAATTGCTTTATAAGGTCTTTCATGGAACCTTATTATTTGAATTGCACCGTGAAACAATTTTCCTCGAGGAAATCCAATACAAACGTTCATTCATTCCTTGAGAAGACAGATCCACAAAAGTCCAATGAGCTGGGCACTGTGGTTTGTGTATCACTCAAGTCCAAAAGTACTTGTCTCTTCAACTGCTGTCAACAGTTTTTCATATAGCATAGAGAATGATGGATAAGGGGGAAGGTCCAGACGATTGAAGCAAGTGT